CCTATCACTACACATCACTACCCATCATTACACATCACTACCCATCACTACACATCACTACACATCACTACCCATCACCACACATCACTACCCATCACTACCTATCACTACACATCACTACCCATCATTACACATCACTACCCATCACTACACATCACTACACATCACTACCCATCACTACCTATCACTACACATCACTACCTATCACTACACATCACTACCCATCACTAAACATCACTGCACATCACTACCCATCACTACCTATCACTACACATCACTACCCATCATTTCACATCACCATCCATCACCACACATCACTACCCATCACTACCCATCACTACACATCACTACCAATCATTTCACATCACCATCCATCACCACACATTACTACCCATCACCACACATCACTACCCATCACTAAACATCACTACACATCACTACCCATCACTACCTATCACTACACATCACTACCCATCATTTCACATCACCATCCATCACCACACATCACTACCCATCACTACCCATCATTACACATCACTATCCATCACTACCCATCACTACACATCACTACCCATCACTACACATCACTATCCATCACTACCCATCACTACACATCACTACCCATCATTACACATCACTACCTATCACTACACATCACTACCCATCATTACACATCACTACCCATCACCACACATCACTACACATCACTATCCATCACTACCTATCACTACACATCACTACACATCACTACCCATCACTACACATCACTACCCATCATTACACATCACTGTCCATCACTACCCATCACTATCCATTACTACACATCACTACACATCACTACCCATCACTACACATCACTACACATCACTACACATCACTACCCATCACTACCTATCACTACACATCACTACCCATCACTATCCATCATTACACATCACTGTTCATCACTATCCATCACTACACATCACTACCCATCACTCTGCATCACCACACATCGCTGTCCATCACTACCCATCACTACACATTACTACCCATCACTGTGCATCACTACACATCACTATCCATTACTGTCCATCACTATCCATCACTGTCCATCACTATCCATCGCTACCCACCACTACACATCACTACCCATCACTCTGCATCACTACCCATCACTATCCATCATTACACATCACTGTCCATTACTACCCATCACTATCCATCACTACCCATCACTGTCCATCACTATCCATCACTACACATGAGTACACATCACTATCCATCACTACCCATCACTACCAATCACTACACATCACTATCCATCACTCTGCATCACTACACATCACTGTCCATCACTACCCATCACTATCCATCATTACACATCACTACCCATCACTATCCATCACTACCCATCACTAAACATCACTATCCATCACTGTCCATCATTACACATCACTACCCATCACTATCCATCACTACCCATCACTAAACATCACTATCCATCACTACACATCACTATCCATTACTACACATCACTGTCCATCACTACACATCACTATCCATCACTACACATAACTGTCCATTACTATCCATCACTATCCATCACTACCCATCACTATCCATCACTATCCATCGCTACTCATCACTAAACATCACTATCCATCACTATCCATCACTGTCCATCACTATCCATCACTACACATGAGTACACATCACTATCCATCACTAACCATCACTACACATCACTATCCATCACTCTGCATCACTACACATCACTGTCCATCACTACCCATCACTATCCATCATTACACATCACTACCCATCACTATCCATCACTACCCATCACTAAACATCACTATCCATGACTATCCATCACTACCCATGAGTACACATCACTATCCATCACTACCCATCACTATCCATCCCTACACATCACTGTCCACCACTGCACGTCACTGTACATCACTGCACATCACTATCCATCACTACCCATCACTATCCATCCCTACACATCACTGTCCACCACTGCACATCACTGTACATCACTGCACATCACTGTCCATTACTACACATCATTATCCATCACTACACATCACTGTCCATCACTATCCATCACTATACATCAGTAAACATCACTGTCTATCACTACACATTACCATCCATCACTACACATCACTGTCCATTACTACCCATCACTGTCCATCACTACACATCACTATTCATCACTGCACATCACTGTCCATTACTACACATCATTATCCATCACTACACATCACTGTCCATCACTATCCATCACTATACATCACCAAACATCACTTTCTATCACTACACATCACTATCCATCACTACACATGACTGTCCGTCACTACACATAACTGTCCATTACTACACATCACTATCCATCACTACACATCACTATCTATCACTACACATCACTGTCCATTATTACTCACCATTATCCATCACTACACATCACTTTCCATCACTACACATCATTATCCATCACTATTCATCACTACACATCACTAGCCATTACTACGCATCACTATCCATCACTACACACCACTAACCATCACTACGCATTACTGTCCATCACTACCCGTCGCTACACATTATTACCCATCATTACCCATCACTACACGTCATTATCCATCAGTCCATCGTTATCTATCACTATCCATCACTACGCATCACTGTCCATCACTACCCGTCACTACCCATCACTATCCATCACTACACATCACTAAACATCACTGTCAATCGCTACCACATCACTGTTCTTTTCATAGCTTGAGGAAGGCTAAAAATTGGTAGATGACCTTTCCTGTCATTTACATCGAAAACTAGTTTATTTTTTGAATAAATCACTAGAGCAGCGAGGTAAGAACATGCTTTGATACCGCACAAACTCTTATGAGGAGTAAACTAACCAACCGAGAACCGACCCAAATCTGTTATAGTTTTTCTTCGTCTTGCCAGTTTCTGAAGTACAAGTTGAAGGCGCTGCTATAAAGGAAAGCCATGTGAATGCAAACGATTAACGGCTTTGATTGCTTACAGTGCGGACACTCGAACCATGAACACCAGACGGTTTTTTTCTGCACTTTTGAACGAATATCCAATCAGCGTACGTCGTCGAAACAAAGGCACTGACATTTTTTAGGCGCTATCCAATCAGCGACTTGATGGTTGGCGGGAATTGTGATATTTTTTCATCGCCTGTAGCGGGCGATCTTCGGTGATCTCTGATGTGGTTTTCGTTAATTTTAAAGTGAGAGATACCGCTAGGCTGCCGCTTGCTAAAAACGTTTTTATTTTTGAGAATTATTTTCCGAAAAACAACCAAAACCGCCGGCGACCGACTTTGAAAATGGCTTTCGCGCCTTTGCATTATACTGGTGAGTTCCCGACTTCTATCGAAAACATTTTTTAAGTGTTTTATTGACGTAGTTTTTGTATTATTCCTGATCAAAGGTAAATGCAAGCTTAGTCTTAACCAACAACATGGGATTTACGACAATGGAAAAGCTCTCCCACAAGTGTATCGGGAAAGAGTGCTTGATCTGTATCATCAAGGGTCGACGCAAAGACAAATTTCGCAGGATATGCGAGTTAGCATCGGCTATGTAAATAAAGTTGTTCAATTTTACGAACAGAGTAACTCCTCTCTACCTGCGCCACGTAAAACACCGGTTCGTAATATATTTACAGCAGATGTTGTTGAGTACGTGGAGTCCGAAAAATTAAGTAAACCAAGTGTATACGCAACTGAAATTCAACAGCGTTTGTTATTTGATGGGATTTCTCCACCTGGTCAATTACCATCCGAGTCTGGAATAAAAAAGTGCATTCGCGAAGACTGTAAAATGACAAAGAAAAAAATTTCTCCAGTACCCACAGAATCTTTGTCACAAGAAAATTCTGAATACACAGATTATTTTCTTGACCACGTTGCACAGCGTGACTATTGGAAAGTTCACTTTTTTGACGAGAGTAGTGTTATCGTGACCGCAGGAAACCGCGTTTATGGCAATTCCTATCTTGGTGAACCTGCTATCGAATTTCAACGCTACGCCTCCAACGCGAATTACACGCTCAACTTACTTCATTCAATACATGGAGTCGATTACTTTGATGTTTTGAGAGGTCCCTCTAATAGCATGGAGCTTTTAAATTTTTTCAATGAAGCCCTTTCGGTAAATAGAGCAGATGGAACAACAATACTTGAGAACGGTGATATGGTTATCATGGACAATTGTGGGTTTCATCACGGACATTTTGCAGAGCCCTTATTACGAGACATTTTACAAGAACATGGTGTTGATTTGCTGTTCCAACCTGCTTACTCGCCCCACTTAAATACTTGTGAACTTTGTTTTCACCAAATAAAGTGCTATCTCAGACAGAATTCATCCTTGACCGCCAATGAAACTGAGATAGCAATCGGTGAAGGTGTATCAAAAATAACTGCAGCAAATTCAGTTGCATACTTTAGAAAATGCGGCTATATCTGATAAGATCGGTAAGAATTTGTTTGCACAGACAGATTATAAACCAGTTTTTAATTCAGTCAAAGTCATAAAGTCTCACAAATATAAGCTTAATTTCAATGTGTTACATTACAACAGAAAATACTTACACATGTAATATAAAAGTTTTGAACGCGAGGGCAAATCGGATCGATAGAGAATACATTTCATCCGTTCTTAATAGAAATAGAAACGCAACGGAAAGATATCACAAAAACTGTATCTAATATGAAACGTTTTATAGTTTACATGTAAATTTCTTGCCACGATGAATTTATAACTACAGCTAATTTGTTCACTGTACTCACAGGGGATCAACAGTTCCATGATTGTAATCTTCAATGACATATGCAAATCTCCAGTCAATGCAAATTTTACCACAGAAACACAACAAAAGATATCTGACCATATCTAGATGAGTACTTGAACATTTGTTACGGTAACGCACTAATTTTAATATCTATTTCTTCACACGGCGTAATGTGTTGCTCACTGCACTCGCAGAGGATCAACAATTCCATGTTTATATTCTTCAATGACATTTGGCAATCTCCAGTCATTACTTTCATCTAATGGAACTTTATTTTTTAGCGCTCGTTGTAAAATCATTAAATCTCTATCCAAGGCACTACGTTCCAAGTATTTAGCCGGATTTTGCTTCCGCAGCCTTGGACGCATGATTGCGAAGAAGCTAGACTTCGCTCGTTGGCGGGAAGCATTGAAAACGTCCGTCTCATTTTTAGCTTTAGCATACTTTTGTTCAAGTTCCTTTAGCTCACGCTGTAAGGTGCGAATATCATTCAGCAATTCAGGGTGCTTATCCTTCAGCTTACAAAAGTTCACATCATGGCAAGGAACTTCGTTGCACTTTGCTCTGTTGTGCCCAGATGTATGACATATTGCACATACCTTGCCGCGCCGCTCGTGAGCCTTTGGTAAATCATCAAGCACTTTCTGTTTCCCTTGCAAGTGACTTTTAGCACTTTGTACTTGTACCTCTAGTAGTTTAAGGTTTTCTGACAGTTCTATAGCTCTTCGATCCAAAGGGCTATGAAAGGTTTGTGGGATTGGGTTGACTGGGTCGATCGGACCAGTGCTATTGGCGGCCGCCTCAGGTAAGTACGGCTGGGACGTTTCTCTCATAAGTTCTTCAGCAGTGCTTACACTTGGTAGAACATTCAGTCGTTTTGGTTCACGATGTGTGGATTGTCCATTATTTTCCGCTTTGATCTTATTTAGCTCAGCCTCCAATATACGTCTTTCTGCCAGTAATAGCTTAGTAGGAGATGGAAAGAATGAGTCCAAATCCTCTGTTTGCACGTAAGCTAGCGATCTTCTTGAGCGGAATCCCCTTGTTTCAAACTCAGGCGAAAGCCGTTCTAATTTCATGCTTGGGGAAAGTGACTTCAGCCACAAAAACACCTCTGTAAGCGTCTTATCCGCCATGGCGAACGAAATGACTCGACGAGATCAGATCGTAAATTTAATTAATGCAACAGTCTCGTTATGAACCGGGACTGTGATTGGATGATACGTAAAAAGCGGGAAAAAAGTGTTTGTGTTCATGGTTCGAGTGTCCGCACTGTAAAGGCATTTACGCTTTCTTTGATTGGTTATCCTTCCAGCTGTGATAAAAAGCTGTACGCCATTCTTATTGACTGTAGAAGCTCTTCTCACATTTGAAAATAAAGCGTATAAATTTCTGCAAATAACCTTTGCAAAATAAAATTCTCGTGTTACGTGTATTAAGTACTTTATATTGGCTGTAATAATTATATGAAGTGGAAGGAACAAGAACTCATTTAATATCGATGTTCTTGCTGCCATTACCGTCGTCCAGAAACAAGCCACAAGGGCCTTGCAGTGTTCCAATATACCCGGCTCTCTTAACCTTTTCTTTCTTTCTTTCTTTTTTTTTTTTTTTTTTTCATGTCCTCTTTTTCTCTGTAAATTATTTTTTTCTACTTCCTCGAATTCTATACTGAAAAGTTTCAGAACGAAGTTTGTTTCTGTTAATTAGTACCGGGGAGTTTAAGCGACAACGACGGCAAAGACTTTAAAAACGTCACTAAAAATGTTAATTTGCGCCGACTCAAACTTAATAACGCTTATTCCATCTCGTTTAATTATTCCTCGACAAAACGTGATATTAGGCAGTTGGCAGAGAAATGTCCGGAAAAGCGTGATGCACGTGAATGCCTAATTTCATGTTATGGAGGACGTTGATAAGCTACGACGAAATTTCTTTCTCTTTTTACACTTGAGTGCGGTCTCATAACCTATATGCTAACTTAAATAAAAAAGTTTTACAGTCAAACCAGGTCAAGCGTTGCCGTCGCTAACAAATTAATGAATTCATTAATGGCAAAATGATTTCGTTCGTTGATTCAATAATCCATTTACAAACTGAATAATCCAACAGTCAAATTGTACCTCGATTCAATAATTAAATGTCGATTTGGTTTGTGAACAAAATCTACCTGTTCTTTATTCTTGTCTGTTGTGTTCAATCGTATTTGCTTCCCTTTTCCTGCCGTTTACGATTGCATTTTTCATTGCCTTTAATCAAAATAACAGCTAGACAACAGCTAGACAAAGGCCGAGGATCGAAATCCACCAATCACCACACATACACTGACCTCTGTTTGACCGTCGTGTTTTCTAAGAGGTCAGGCCTAGGTCTGTTGCACTTATTACTGGCAGCAAACTGGCGTACATGTAACAGTTTGTTTGGGTTTGAACTTGAGAACTCGCCCGCACTCGACTCTCAGAGAAAAAGGGAAAAAAACAAAATTCTGGGGTCGACTTGTGGAAAGTGCAGTTTTTCAAAAAACAGTAATCGAATCAACATTCGATTATGGAATCGAGGCTAAATATGAATATTGGATTGTTCATTTTATGAATGGATTATTGAATAAACAAACGAAATCATTTTTCCGTGAATGAATTCATTAGTTCGTTAGCGACGGGAACGCTTGACCTGGTTTGACTGTAAGGGATTGCTTAAAAGTTGCCACTGAAGCACATTTCCTAATCTCTAGAGGTAAATCGTTCCACAATTTAGGTCCTGCAATAGAGAAAGCTCTGTCTCCATATGTTTTCAATCTGCTTCTTGGAACCACTAAGTATTCTTTACATGAAGAACGCAATGACCTAGAGTATGTTTTAAAATTCAAAAGGTCAGAAATATAAGAAGGTGCAAGGCCATGAAGGGCCTTGTATACCAATAAAAGGACTTTAAAAGTTATTCTAAACTCAACTGGTAACCAGTGAAGATTAATTAAAATAGGAGTTACATGAACATGCCTCGGTGTCAATGTGACAACACGAGCTGCAGCATTCTGAACTGCCTGTAGTCTAGCTAACAGATACTTAGGAAGGCCATGTAATAAGGAATTACAGTGATCAAGTTTCGAACTAATAAATGCATGGACTAAGATTTTACATGTATCTTGGCTTAAGTACTTGCGGATTTTAGCAATATTTCTCAAATGATAGAATGATGATTTACAGTAGACATTTTCAGCGAGTTGTGATAATCGCTACAAAGTCTGAAGAGGTGCTAATTCATTTTAAAAGTGACCTTTTCGTTGCCTTCGCCATCTTCACGGTGTACAGACCTTGTCACGGTTTTTGCAGTCATCTTGACGATTAGGCAACAGCTTGAAATTTCAGTGTTGGAATGAGTCTATTGTCGCATAATTACCGTAAAACGGCTATTCTGACAGAAGAGAGATATATGAATTGTAAACTAAAGCAGTAAAGCAAAGGATTGTACTAAAATCTTTTTTGGGCACCCGTGTGTTTAAATTTCTCCAGAGGCTTGCTTTACATTCTCCATATATTTTTGTAATTTTTCCCCGGACTTTCTTTCGGACAAATGTATACCTGCCAACTCTCACGCCTTAGGCGTGAGTCTCACGCCTGTGGGTTGAAAACTTCGATCTCACGCCGGCTCACGCCTGCGGGCCAATTTCTCACGCCTGATTGAAAAATGTGAGTTGTTGCCGTCTTGCTTGACACAATTTCCAAAAATATGTTAACTCAGACCCATGTAAGGAACGAAAACTAGTGTAAAATGAATAAATGACAATACCTTCCTCGCGATCTCTGATTTTTGAAGTGAAAAGCACTAGGGGCGAGCTCGCCTTTGGCAGACTTCGGACGTCTTCGGAAGACTTTGGACTTCTTCGGAAGACTTCGGACTTCTTCGGGAATCTTCGGAAATGATCGTGTCGTCTTCAAAAATCCCAGCACTTCCAGGATAAAAATCTCACGCTTATATCTCAGAAAAAGTTGGCAAGTATACAAATGTATAGAAAAGTTTAAAAATGCGTTCTTGTGTATATAACGCACTCAATTAGAATCCGTAAGTGTGAAGCCTTAGCTTACAATTCATACTTTTTTCAGGACAGCGCGGAATCAGTTCGAGATTAGATTCTCATACAAACACTGTAATTCCTCAAGCGCATGCCTATTCGTCCAGATGGCTTCCAAAACCGTAACAAGGTCTGTTGCTGAGGAAGATTGCACTTGAGCATGGAATTGAAAACTGCCTTCGTCTCAACTGGGCCTGAGTTAAAGTGGGCCGAATTAAAAAAAAAAAACAAAACAAAACAAAGTTATATCACAATATGAATACCTCACAAGGTTCGTGATTGGACAAATGACTTAGCTGACTAGAAAATAGTTGGTTTCTTGTTTAGGACAAGTTTAGACAAAGCCCAATTTATTTTATTTAGGTTACTTAGAATCGGCTAGAGAAAATTTTCGAAATAAACAGCTGAAATTTGGCCTAGATGAAAGCAATCAGAATTTACTTTTGCAATATTTCACTGAAAATAGCTTAACAGCAAACACGAGGTTTTACTGCTTTACTTCATGCGCATTAAGTGAATTAGGCGACACTTTACAATTTACTTTTACAGGTTCCTTTTTATTTTACTTTTACCTTATTGAAATTCACTTTAACCAGTAACTAATGATGTTGGAAGCAAGATGTAATAAACGGTTGAATTTTTTTAAATGTTACTTTGTTTGTCTGCTTTGATTTGATATTTGTCGTTTTTTTTTTTTTGCTTTCCCGTCTCCCCCCAAAGCATATATATATTTTCAAAAACGCCTCTATGCGAGGAGTCGTCTTAATAACTATAATTCGCTATGTGCACTATGCTAGTGGAATATACGACATGTACGAAGAACTTAGTAACAACATGGAACTGAACATGGCGTAACTTAGAAATTGCCTGCAATAAATTATCTTCTACAAAGTATGTGTGCCCGGACCGCTTTTCGGAAAAGACGCCCTGTTGTTCGATTCTTGTAAGCGACCACCTCCCGTAAGCGACCACTAAGTCTTTACATTTTGGGTGGTGGCTTACGGGAGGTTCGACTGTAATTATGGATAGTGATGTGTAGTGATGGGTAGTGATGTGTAATGATGGATAGTGATGGGTAGTGATGTGTAGTGATGGATAGTGATGGATAGTGATGGATAGTAATGGATAGTAATGGATAGTGATGGATAGTGATGTGTAGTGATCGATAGGGATGGGTAGTGATGGATAGTGATGGGTAGTGATGGATAGTGATGGATAGTGATGAATAGTAATGGGTGATGAATAGTGATGGATAGTGATGGATAGTGATGTGTAGTGATGGACAGTGATGTGAAGTGATGGATAGTGATGGGCATTAATGGATAGTGATGTGTAGTGAAGGACAGTGATGTGTAGTGATGGGCAGCGATGTGTAGTGATGGATAGTAATGTGTAGTGATGGACAGTGATGTGTAGTAATGGATAGTGATGGATAGTGATGGATAGTGATGTGTAGTGATGGATAGTGATGTGTAATGATGGATAGTGATGTGTAATGATGGATAGTGATGGGTAGTGATGTGTAGTGATGGATAGTGATGAATAGTGATGGATAGTGATGTGTAGTGATGGATAGTGATGTGTAATGATGGATAGTGATGTGTAATGATGGATAGTGATGGGTAGTGATGTGTAGTGATGGATAGTGATGTGTAGTAATGGATAGTGATGTGTAGTGATGGATAGTGATGTGTAGTGATGGATAGTGATGGGTAGTGATGTGTAATGATGGATAGTGATGGATAGTGATGTGTAGTGATGGATAGTGATGTGTAGTGATGGACAGTGATGTGTAGTAATGGATAGTGATGGATAGTGATGGATAGTGATGTGTAGTGATGGATAGTGATGTGTAATGATGGATAGTGATGTGTAATGATGGATAGTGATGGGTAGTGATGTGTAGTGATGGATAGTGATGGATAGTGATGGATAGTGATGTGTAGTGATGGATAGTGATGTGTAATGATGGATAGTGATGTGTAATGATGGATAGTGATGGGTAGTGATGTGTAGTGATGGATAGTGATGTGTAGTGATGGGTAGTGATGTGTAGTGATGGATAGTGATGTGTAATGATGGATAGTGATGGGTAGTGATGTGTAGTGATGGATAGTGATGGATAGTGATGTGTAGTGATGGATAGTGATGTGTAATGATGGATAGCGATGGGTAGTGATGTGTAATGATGGATAGTGATGGGTAGTGATGTGTAGTGATGGATAGTGATGGATAGTGATGGATAGTAATGGATAGTGATGGATAGTGATGGATAGTGATGTGTAGTGATGGATAGTGATGGGTAGTCATGGATAGTGATGGGTAGTCATGGATAGTGATGGTTAGTGATGTGTAGTCATGGATAGTGATGTGTGGTGATGGATAGTGATGTGTAATGATGGATAGTGATGGGTAGTGATGTGTAATGATGGATAGTGATGGATAGTGATGTGTAGTGATGGGTAGTGATGTGTAGTAATGGATAGTGATGGATAGTGATGGACAGTAATGGATAGTAATGGATAGTGATGGATAGTGATGTGTAGTGATGGATAGTGATGGGTAGTCATGGATAGTGATGGATAGTGATGTGTAGTCATGTGTAGTCATGGATAGTGATTGGTAGTGATGAGTAGTGGTGTGTTGTGATAGGTAGTGATGCATAGTTATGTTGAGTGACACATAGTTACATGTTACATGAAGATATTTTAACCGGATTTTTTATATTCGTGTAGGAGAACACGGATTTGTTACCAGGTGCTCTTCCAATAAAGAAAATGGCCTCCTGGCTCAGTTGGCGCAGTCGGTCGGGCTATACACAGATTTGTGTGGCACGTGGAATAGTGTCATGGGGGAGTAAGGATAATGATGAGGCAAGGGAGCTTCAACTTTGGTATCGTGAGACGGATAACTGTTACCGCCTTTATGCCAGCAATACAGCGGGAGTTGTGATACTGGTATGTAAAGTTATTGATGTTTTTACTCTGCACTTCCAAAAGTGCACTGACAAAAACAAAACGTTATTAACGAAGAAGTCGAAATTTCATTTCGTCTAATACTGAAAACAAATAGTACCATGTTTGAGTACTGATAAAGGGGTTTCGTCCAGGGGCTCAAGAGTAAGAACTAAATGTTGTGGTTCCATAATTGACTCTGGGAGTGATAGGGTTTTAACTATGTACAATTTAACAATTATTTATATTAAACCCTTTTTATTTAAAAAATTAGCTTATTTATGTGTTTATGCAGTCACCTTAATGTATCTGTTGTAATTTTTGCAGCTCATGTAATTTTTTGTTTTTCTTTTTTTGGGGGTATGGTAATGTATGCTAATGAAGTTGAAACAAAAGAAAAATAAAAATTACCTGACATAAAAACTTAACTACAACATATCCATCTATTATTTTATATGCTTTGTTCTTCATTAAACATTTAAATCCAGTAAACACCCACCAATAAGAACCTGTGGATTAAGAACCTTCTGGCAGAAATTTGCCACTTTAATACCCATGCAAAAATACAAGAACCTGTTTAGCGTAGCCTATGTTGCAGCCAGCCCACACACTCGTCTAAACCATTTGTATAGTCCATTTGTGAACAAGTGCATAAAAGTTCATTCTAACATCCTGCAGAGTCGCAAAGGCATATGTGAGTGTTTGTGATAGGTAGGTTTCTTGTGGGTTAACGTTAATGTTATGCACCTCATGATTGGCCTAATTCTTTGCATGCGCATGCCAATATTAAAAGGCACAGTGACATGTCAAAATTCACAGAAGGGAGTTGGCAATGACCGTTTGCAGTTTACAGCAAATAATAAAAGAGCAGTCAAAGCCTTCTTCTGCACAAAAAAATACTTTGAGAGAATTCCTTGTGATTTTTTTATAAGAATTTGCTTGTATAAATTTGCCCACTGGTTTTCCAGCATCTTCCAATCACTGCAGATGCACTGTCGCATATTCTGCAATCTAGCCGACAGTTCTAGACTTCTAGCATCCAAAAAAAAAAAATTCAGGAAATCATTATCTTCACAGCCAAAAATAAAACTAGTACTACATGTGGCTATCCAGGTCCAGGCATTTTAGAAAAACCAAAGAAACTAAGGTTATTTCGGCACAAGAAAAAAGCGTAAGGCTTGAACTACGGTGGCCTACAGGGAACATGCTGCAAATAAAAAAGTTGCTGCAAATTAAATAAAATTGCTGCAAATAAAATAAAGTTGCTGCAAATTAAATAAAGTTGCAGCAAATAAAATAAAGTTGCTGCAAGTTAAATAAAGTTGCTGCAAATAAGAAACAATTGCAGCAAATAATAAAAATAGTTGCTGCAAATAAAAGCAGTTGCTGCAAATTAAGTGACAGGAAAGTATGCGCACGCATTGATGGGAAGAGGAGGACTCAGTATAGTTGTAAGGAAGTTAAAGGCAGACCTGCAAGGACTCCCAATGTGGTTTTTGTGGTTGCGTTGAATTATCAACTGCCTTCAAGTTACATTTTTGGACTCAAGCATGTCTTTTGTAGGATATGATCGAAGGTCTTAAACTGTTTTCAGCACTGCAGAGGCTGATTTCTTATTAGGCCTGTAGACTCCAGTTTGCCATCAACGTCTTTTTAAGGTCTTGTACGGCTGGGTTATATGTTGTAATGAAAGGCAATAGTTTCTCTTTATTTTTTTTGTTTTTGTTTTAGCCCCTATCAGTGTCTCGAGTCAAGGTTGACCCCTGACAACGACCTTTCTATATCCGGTTTAGGATTTTGTGTGCTGTGAGTTCACAAGGCACTCTTCAAATGTTTTTTTTTTGAGGAGTTTTTTCTTATCAATCTTATTTCTTCGCCTTTAATGAAACTTCTTTTTACCCTCGTAGGTGGAATTAGGTAAAGTGCACATATTGAAAGGTTTTAGTCGGCTTATAGTGGGATTTAATGGCCAATGAAGATGGATTTCTCTGTAAGTTGTTCTCCTTTGAAAACTGTTGTATCAAGGAAAGTTATTTTGTTATTTCATATTTCGGCTGTGGACTTCATTTTTGGGATGGGATTTGTTAGTTTCTGTAATAAAAAGTTGGGTCTTTTCTGTTACAGTCCCAAAGAAAGTTAACATCATCAATGAAACATTTTCATTGGTATTTCTATGTTGGATTAGGTTTGTTTCACTCTCCGCCTTGTAGATATTTGCAAAGGACACTGGTGTTTTTATGCCTAATGCAACTCCATGGGTTTGACGATAATTGTTTCTATTGAACTCAAATAAGGTTCCTCTCACTGAGGATTAGGCCAAGCATTTTGTGAGTGGGCCCTGGATACAACTATACTGAGTCCTCCTCTTCCCATCAGTGCGTGCACATAATTTCCTGTCACTTAATTTGCAGCAACTGCTTTTATTTGCAGCAGATATTTTTTTGTTTGCTGCAATTATTTTTTATTTGCAGCAACTACTTTTTATTTGCAGCAACTTCATTTGTTTTGCAGCAACTTTTTTATTCGCAGCATGTCCCTTGTGGGCCACCGTATTAAACAGAGGTAAGAGAAAATCATTTCATGGTAAACTACATAAATTGTAATCAAATCATGTCAGAAAACATCTGCAGAAACATAAACCATAGGAACTAATTGCTCAATATGCATGGAACAGACCAGCAACCTCAACCTCTAAATGTGACACTCAAAGTGGTAAAATAAAATTTGCTCAGTGTAGAATACTCCATGCACTGCATAAACTACACAAAAAGAGAGCAAGAAAAACCACTGTTGTTCAAGCTGACTCTTCGGTCACGTTAATTGTACTATCAAAAGCTCAATCTCCCTTCTCACAAGCTATTTATATATATATTAGTTGTGTTTGGCCTGTCCATGCTTAATTCAAATCAGGCTAATCACATTAAACTGTGTAACAAACGAGCCAATCAAAAATGCTAACATATGTCCTTGCGACTGAGGGATTCAAACATGATATTGTGAAGCAAGTTAAGCCTAAGAAGATCATCATTGCAAGTTACATGTAAGCTTAAATTATGATGAACAATTTAACAAAGGGAGGTAACTATCAGTGGTAAAAAGGGGGGGGGGGGTACCTATGAGTTATTTTTTAAGTATAATTATATTCATAAGTCTCACTTGCTCAAGAAATGAGAAGGCAATTACATCTACATGAAGCAGGATTTTCTTGGGACAAGTTTTTGACTTCCTACTTTATCGACAGTCAAGTATTCTTCAAGATATTTTATTTTATATATGGCATTTGACAATTTGTTTCTGAATTGATTGAATACATGTGCATAAATACACTAAAATTAAGGGCCTAGATTCGAGTATGAGTTAATTACACCATTGCCCGAGAGCAAAAAAAGTGACGAACATGGCATGTCATTCCGGTCATCGCTGAAAATGAAACAATGAAAGTTTACAACACCCGATCAGTTAGCCGCACCATCTGCCCCATTGATCGAAGTTTTGCTCATTAAGATTCTTCTTTTACTCGACTACTTGTTCCAAAGTAATCACCACTTTTAAGCAATAGAATTGGTGGACCAACCTATTCCGGAAAAGCTCTAAATCTTTTGCATTAACTTTTCCTAAGCTTTCTTCACAAAACATTCGTGGCGAGCTCCTGAGTCATGCCGCAATTCGTTATATCCCAAGTTTCCATGGTCACCGCTATGTTCAACCCTGCAGGGACCATGTCTTCTCTTTTGTGGACTAAATACAAGGAACAAAACATGGCTTACAGATTCTGAATCTGCAATTGAGACTAACAAGAAATTTGGTCATCAGTTTTGTTAGGGTTATATGACATAATACAATTATTATGAATAACTTTAAAAAGTTTAAAATTTATTTTTGTGATTTTAAATCAACAATGTATCTCCTTCATACGTAAAAACTATAAAGAACCTAATTAAGAAACTACATAGCCTAAATTGCCATTAAGTACCCCAAAATACAAGAACCTATTTTGCCAGACTTCAAAAAAAGTAGGTTCTTATTTGCTGGTGTTACTGTACCTCATTTAATACCAGTTTTATGTAAATGATTGGCCACCATGGTAGCTTTATGCACCACAACAATAGGTTCATGAGGAATTGAAGTGAGTGAGTTCACTTGATTCATGTAAGAACTTTTAATGAATAAACCAGTGCTGTGTTTACATTTGATCATTACCAATTCACTGAGGTTATTTTAAAATGCCTTTCATGTTTAGTGTCAGCAGAAAATACATGTCACAATAACAACAATATTAAATATTACTCCAGGAGGTATTACATGTATACCTGCATAGGTTCATGAGAAAATTGAAGCTGTTATCCTCCACACCAGGATGCGGTTTATACTTCCCCTCACGGAGGGCATCAGAAATTCCAGTGGAAAGGGGGTCCAAGAGGAGGCAATTTCCAAGGGAGTGGGGTCTGAGATTCTCAAGGTCTTTTTTCCAGGGACTTTAAATGAAACAAGAATTATTGTTTTCATTGATGATCTTACATTAACAGATATAGCTGAATGCTTTTTTCTCAGCTTACCTGTATGATATAGTCTACATATATCTAATATGAATGTCATATCGGCTCATGAATAATGCCAGTCATCCAGCTCATTGCTTTATATTTCACAATATAATTGTGGTATTCACTGTGTTATGGTCATGTTCTATTAGCCTTCTTTTAACTTGTTCTTAACTGTTTTTTACTGGTTCTTTCATAGATGCTCTCATAGTACACTGGGCAAAACCGTTCTGGATTGATGTTACATTATACAAAAATATAACAAGCCAAGAAACCTCAATTATATTTTTCTCTTTTGAAGTTTATCAAATTCCACACATTGGAAAATTTGATTGTGCAAGGAGGACTTGCATTACAGCGTATTCAAACACAGTAACAAAATCACAAAGGGATGCAAAAATCACATTGTTTTTAAGAAAAAAAAATGAATAAAAAAATGACGGGTTATTGTGTTAAGAATATCGTGACGTTTTTGTGGATGTTTCAAAAAGCATTCAACGGGAAAGCACAAGGAAAACTTAAGGACAGTCTACAACTTATTTGACCACTCAAATATAGCCCTTTCTTCAGACTTGCGTCATCTTAAAACTCTTCTTGCCACTAGGTCGGTCCTCCATCTGTTTTGAAGATGGCAGCCTGTTGCTGACGCTCTGTTCCATGCTAGCAGCCACGAAATGCTGCTGTGTTAAAGCATAGTCGGCCAAGAACTTCTGACACTGCTATATGGGCCTCTCTAATAGTTGCTGGACTATATTTCTTGCCTTTTCTCTCAGGGGCTTGCCATTTAGTCTCACGTTGTGTTGCACAACAGCTTGATTCAAACAACTCTGTGGATTTGCCTCGTGGCCCTTCAGTGGTATAGCATATACATGTATATATGTATCGCAGCTTGAATCTTTTTTGACTCTCTTAACTGCTGATTTATCAAAGGATAATTATGCTGCTGCACGTAAATGACTCGATCCAAGTTATCTTTGCAGCAAGATTTATTTGGAGACAACATTCTAACATGACAACGCTTCTTTTTCATCGAAAAACTTGTGATTTGTTTTTCTTAAAAATTACATGATTTTGTGTACCTTGGTGATTTTGTTACCAAGGTTTGATACGCCGTAACGCAATTCCTTCTTGTGTGATCAACATGAAAATATTATTCCATTACATGTGGAATTTAATATTGTTTTAAAGGACAAAAATATCATTAAGGGTCCTTATAATGGCTTGTTTTATTTTTGTATGATAAAACGTCAATCCAGAACAGTTTTGTCCAGTTTATTATGTCTCTCATAAGGTATTGTGTCCTTGGTTGTCTAGCTGTGACATACACCTCTACTCACTGTTAGTAATGAACAAAGAAAGACCTTTTACATGCAAGGCAAAACTGAGAACATTAGACACTGTTTTAAGATGAATAAAAAGATTTTTCCTCTCTTTATCGCAGAAAACATGCAATTATCTTTCACATAAAAGTATAGTGCAACAGCTCATTGAAGTTTATTAATTCACAGTACTAAGACACTGTCTTTCAGTAGCATACAAAATTGTACATATCAGCTACATACGTACAGTCGTAGACATATCACTGTTTTAAGATCAAAAGAGCTACAGCACAATGCTGGATGTAAAAAGTTGTAACGTAAAGCACAATTCTGAAAGCGCCTTTCGCTATTTTGCAAGTAGTAAACGGTAACTAGAGTACAAAATGTAATGGAAAAGATCTTCATGGTATCTGTAGTTATTGAAGCCTTCAAAAAGTTGTTTGGTATACAGCGACTGGGCTTTTGAAGTCACCTTGCATAGCTCATCAGCCAGACTAGATGGGATTTACCCGTGCAAATTCACCTGATCGAGATTCGGAATTCACCTGATTACTAGAGCGTCCGTAATAAAGAGGTTAAGTTTATATTGAATTTACTCTCTGGGGCCAAAATTTATTGTCCGTTGTCCGTATTAGAGAGAGTCCATATCATAGAAGTAGGTATATTTTTAAGGTCAATATAGGAGAATTTTGTCAGGACATTGGAAACTGTCTGTAACATAGGAGAGGTGTCCGTGCTGAGAGGTACGACTGTAGTTTAGTAGGAGAAAGAGAAATCCATTTGTGGTGTGTTTACGTCCTCCATAAAAAGTCCACTAACAGAGGGAATTTTATGTGGCTTTTATGCAGTGATGTCAAAAAAGTGTGTCTTCTTGTTTGGCCTAGGAGAAGTATAAAATTAATGTAGTTTGCTTTTTTGATGTCTTTATTGCTGTTACAGTTGTTGTTGCTTCAGCTCTCTATTTTGATCTGAAGGGGCACAGTCTCATGACATATGGAAAAACCCACGTACATAAATTTGTATATAGTGAAACTACCGGTTATTACGAAAATGTTCCTGTGTTCTTAAGCGGTATTTTTTACAACTACAGTGTAAGTGCAAATAAAAATGAAACTTTCATCATTAATGAAGACATGAAAAATCATGAATATTTTGTTATTTGAAAGCTCAGTGAGGCTAATATTATTATTTTCAGCTTGAATTATTCTTGCATCTTGAACAGATTGCTGAAAATATTTTGTTCCTTTTGTTTTGCCATTTAAAGGGAGTCAGAAATTTGCATTTAGGAGGGTACAGTGTTGTCAATTTACGTGATTTTTCTAGAATGAGATTTTAATAGATCAATTGAAAATTTATGGTATAGCAATTTACAACAAGTTTAGAAAGTTAGAAAGAATTGTACATGATGTTTCAAAAGCTGAGTAGCAGACACATTTAACATTCAAGTTTGTTTTGTAGATGTTTTAAATAATTGTTGTGACTTAACCTTATGGATTAATTAAGTTGGCCAATGGCATACAGTGTATTTTGTATTTTTATTTAATCTACAGATTTCGTAGTTTCTTAAAGTATACAAATTCATCAAAACACAATTTTTCACAAATTTTTTCAACACTCTGTCACCAATTTGGCACACCATTAACAGGGTGCAACAAAACTGCTATCTGATAGCCCAGGGCTAGTGAAGCAACTCATCTTCAGCAACAGTTTGCCCAAAGGGCAATGAGTTTTAATTTTCATCTCGCCCTGATTCAGGCACCTATCAGCTTCTTCTCAGTAACAAAAGAGCTGTAACATTAAGCAACAGTAAGAGCGGATTTAGGGGTGGGCCAAAGGGGGCCTTTTTTCCTTCAAATTATTTTGTATTATTTTTATAGGACTCTCAGAACAATAAAACGTTTCTATATAGCTGGCAAGTGGGCAAGTATCCCAGCCACCCCTTTCTGAATTTTCTGGATCCACCTCTGGCTGCTGCTGGAAAAGATGAGTTCATGAGAGATTTCTCCATTTTCCATAACTAATTATTTAGAGACCAAAAACCAATTCCAGCATACCGCAAATAATACAAAATGTACATGTATGTATTGCATGCCATTATCAGACTGGAATAAGTTATGCAAAAGATTCCATTTAAACCCCACTAACCCAGTAGCCCAGAGAAGACAGAAAAAAATAACTCAGGTTTGTGGAGATGGACCAGATGGAGAGATCTAGGTTTTGAGGTACATGGGAAAGAACTAATAATTTCTGTTGTCAGGGACTTGACTGACAGCCTTCTTTGTGTATTTTCCTGCAGTAATAAACAGTTGCTTTTATGTATGCTTGTCAGTAGATTGATGACAAGTGATGATGGTGTTTTCATCCCTTTTTCTAATAATTTATTTTTTGCTCCTCCTCTTCGTTGAATTACCTTTCCATGTTGTTTTTGGTCCAAAGGAAGTAAGATTTTTTGATTGTTTTTCTTCCTGTGGTGCTGATACTGTGTAAGCTTTCCTTGGGTTTCTGAGGTTGAAATTGAAATAGCAGTTACAAAAACAAACTGCATGTATACTGCTTGTTCAAAAGTAGTTCAAGAAACTTCCTCTTCTTGGCTTGCTATTATATCTTTCTAAGCCACTGTATGACTTTATCATTTCCCTTTTTTCAAAATTTGGGTATGATTGTAGGTCATGTGTATACTGTATAAGTCCTATTTCATTATACAGTACCAGTATGAAAATCAACTCTTTTAGTTATTGGCATCTGAAATATTATTTATTGATGTCCCCAAAGTCAGCAGCCCATGTTATTTTTGCTATATCATTTATGGGTACTTTAATTTTGGTTTTGGTTCATAACATTCTCACAGTTCCCTTGCCCTGTTTGTTCGGTAAGGGTTAAGCTCTGTCAGGCGGGGTTAGTACTGGGATAAGTGAGACCTTTTGGGATATATAACATGTATTAGTAAAATCCAACTAGTGGTCTATTATCTGCAATGCTGCGTTCTGATTGGTTGAGCTACTACTAGGCTATATCTTATAGCCCACTAGTAGCGAAAAGCACAGGCATTTTGGCGGCAAAGAAGGATTAAAGTGTCTGCGGGGAGGCTACTTACCATCATTGTTTCTTCTGATTTTCCACTCAAACTTGAATGAGTGTTATTTTTTCAGTAGAATTTGCAATGTGGTATGTCGTGAACTATGTGCAGTTTTAAGTACAAATTTACATTATTTTTCTCTGTCTTTAAGTCAGACTGAGTGAACATTTACTTGAGATGTAATAAAATTAATTTTGAAATTATTTTAAAGAGTCAGTATGGCAGAAAAAAATCTCACTGGTATTATGTGATACTAAGTCAGCAGGAGATTATATAATATTATAATTATAGAACATAAATAAAGCAAATGATAATTTCACAGCTTCATTTTTAGACAAGTACCTGTAACTACAGAAAAGATTGACATAGCCATAGTCAGCAACACTGACTAGAATGTGAATGATAAAAAATGTATTCCCAAAAATGTAATATCCGCGACATTTTTGTGTAATGTCCGCAACACAAAGTTTTGTTTGTAGAATCATCGGAACGAGGTTGCGTGGAATTTTTTTTGACAGTTGAAAAATTTAATTATTGCCATGTTTTGAAGGCACAATTATTTTCTGCTGAAGGTTAAAAATTCACAGGAAATTATCTTTAAATAAAGTTACTTTAAAAAGTGGCTGTTTAAAATGTAATGCCTGAAACACTGTTTCCTCAACTGATATCTTCAAGGTCTTGAGAGCTCACTAAAGCATCTTTTTATTAGGTGCAAAGGAAACGCTAAAGTTATTTTCTAGATAGAACACCCTTGTTAAACATTTTGACATTTAAATTGGGGTTTAAAATGTTAATTTTAGTATCAGAATGTAATGTCGTCCGCAACATGGAATCACCCTTATTCATGTCAACCTATTTGCCTTTTTTGACGTTCACTTTGTCGTTGCCGTTGTGGCATCTTAAAGTCCCTTATAATGATTTCTTTATGCTGTCTTCGTTGGTTAATTATTAACAAACCCCAGCCCAACCTCTAATCAGGGGGCACCTCTATTCAAGGGACACTTGGTTTTTTCCCGAGGGTGTCCCCTGAATAGAGGTTTCATAATGTATTTGTTTATCCATTGCTTCAAGTTTATTTTTTTGTTTTCAAAGCTCACTTAATAACTTTCTGTGCTTTGCACTGTGAGCCTGTTGTGTTTCTTGATCTGTATTATTATGATAATCTTTGATAACTAAGACTTTTTTATGCTTCATTTCTTGTACACTGTACAAGTTAAAATTCACACCAAATAGTATTGCATGAAACTTGAAATGATGCGACAATGAACGCTATTGTCAAGTGAAATTTACCCTACGTTATAAAGTTATTCTTCAGGTATTATTAAGTCCGTTCAATAACGATTTTTTAGTGTCTTGCATAAAAATATTTGGCATCTTAATTTAGTCTTATACCACTTATTTTCCCCCTTTTGTTCAAATTGTTATCTTTCATCTAAGGTGGGGGAGAGAAGATGTTGCCAGCTGGCTTGGTGACGGTAGGGAATTAGGGGAGTTGTGGTGTTGCCCTCTACCTAAAGGTCTGGGGACGAACCAGGGACCACATGGTCAACCTCATAGCAAATGGTTGGTAAAACAATCAACAAACAAAGTAACAATGGAACCTAACCCGAAGACAAAATAGCTGCGACATATAGGGATCCAAATAAATTACAGGTTCTGAAGAGCTACAGGGCTACTGTTATGACAAATGATTTTGAGCTGAACATATTGAAAACAATTTGGTGTAAGTGATGGCGAACCTCAGTTTATAATGGTACTAGTGAGATCTTGGTTAGTTATGGGGTGTGAATATAGTTGTATTCAGTTGTTATTTTACGGTACCATGAACACCCGGCATTAAGAACCACCTCTTTTTGAAATCTGGCAAAATAGATAGGTTCTTGTATTTTAGGGTACTTATTGGCAATTTAGGCTAAGTATGTTCTTAATTAGGTTCTTAATTTTTATGAAGGAGATAATAGATTGTTTATTACGAGAAAATTAAACTTTTTATTTATTCACCATTGTGTTATTATAATCCTCACAAAACTGATTACCTAATAAGCTAATTTATATACAGTTTAGTACAGTATGTTTTTCGTGTACTTAAAATTACAACGAAAGTTGCACTCCTTTGTTAAATTGTTTATCATAATTTAACTGTAACCCACATATAAGACGTGCTTGATTTTGCTTGGCTAAACATCCAGGTTCTTGTATTTTGGGGTATTAAAGGGGCAAATGTCTGCCAAGAGGTTCTTATTAGTAAGTGATTACTGTAACTCCCTCTATAGTCAAACCAGTCAAACCTGTATTAAGCGGACCTCTATAAGCGGTCACCAATTAAAGTCCTGGAAATAACTTCCCTTAATTATTGTAAAAACTGATCTGTATTTAGCAGTTACCCTTATTAAGCAGCCGTGGTTACCTGTTTTAAAAGTCCCAATGAGTATTAAATTTGTTATTATTATTCATTCAAAATATTTCCCCGATTGTGATTGGCTAAAAGTACACGCATAATTCACCATAACCGGTTGACCACTGATGACCAAATTTGGAAGAATTTTGTGTTTAGCGAGGAAATGACGTCAAAAATGCAGCGTTTTGCAGGTTAATGCACCGTTAACCGGGAAGACCTGGGGACGAGGTTGAGTTGTTTTGGTTGTGAACTTGAAAAATTGCGGACATTTCACTCGTTTCAAGAGTAAGAACTAGGCGTAAAAATAGCTAAAAACATGGCAAGAGCAGCAATAAGACAACTCGAAGGCGAAATCTGCTATTTGGAGAATATTAGCGGAGCTGAACAACCCTAAATGTGCACTATCGAAGATGAACTTAACATCGATGGATCGATGGAGGTTAGCATGTTTTAGCCATATTTTTAAACTGGGAATTATTTTGAATGAATAATAAAACAATTATTGAATTCGGCTTTCGTATCATATGAAGAATTATGGAGATCTCGGAGGGTGTTATCCGTCGAGGCCGTAACACCCTCCTCGATCCATAATTCTTCATAAGATACTCAGCCTCATTCATTAATTGTTAATTGTCTTTACCTCTATTAAACTGTTCCTTTGACAAGATATGCCATACTAGTGCAAAAGCATACACTGTGTAGGGCGTTTAGTGGTCTTGTACAGACTTGCCAACCCCCAAAAGGCAAAAAAATGTGAGATTCTGAACCTGGAGATGGGAAAAGTAGTGCAGAGAAATGGGTATAAAGCGGGGGGCCATAAATTATGGGGCAAAACAAGGATCGTGGGTAATTTTAATAGCTTATAGGTCAAAAAAGATGCACTTGAAACGACAAAATTGAAGGGAAAGGAAAGATCTTTTCCGTTTTTTTGGTCCTTACCGTAAGTTGAAGACCAGAAATTTACCAGTCGTTAAAGAACAAGAAATAAGTTATGTGAAAAAAAAACAAATGATAACTGTTTGTCCTGTAGCAAGTGAGATCCCAGTGAAATGGGGTGTGAATAGTTGTTATTTAGTTGTTATTTTGTAGAAAATGCCAGTATAGTCAGTATAACTTAAATATAAATTAAATCATTATATTTCCGGCCTTACCGTTTCAGTTTGACATTATGCCTGAAACTACAGTGAAGGTCACCAAGGATTCACTTACGATTAGTGAACTAGAAGATGTTGACTATCAAAAAGGACAAACTGTTCAACTAAAAGATGCTGACCCAAATGACATTCAGCTTTTTATTGACAAGATGCCCGCCTCTGTCAAAGGTAAGAGTGCCAATATAATATAATATAATATTTTTGAATTTTGGTTTAAGTTTTGGTTTTGGAATAAAGAGGCACATGGTTAAACCTCTGTGTATATGTTTGCAAAGAGGCAGATCAAGATTAATATGGTGAGGGTAGCTTTAGTTATTTTGGTTTTAGTTTTTAAATATAAAGAGGAATGAGGTTAAACTTACTGTATGTACGTAGGTTTAGAAACAGGTAGCTCAAGCTTATGGCGACAGTTATATTGTTAGTTTGTTTTTATTTTTTAATTGAGAAGCGTATAGTTAATTTGTATGGATTAATTATCCATGGACTAATTCGTACATTTGTATGGATGGCCAGGCTTAAATATTTAAAATTGTTGAGTGAAATATTCAGACTTCATTTTATAAGCATTTGGTCAACCGGCAATCCTCGCCTCAAAACATTGTTCGCCGTTAACAGTGTCAAGAGGGGTGTCTGTAAAATGGGGACCGGATACCTGCGGATGCGAATGGGAAAATGCGGATGGAAAAATGCGGAAAGACGCTAAAAAAAGTAAAAAGAATAAGACGAGAAATACGGATGGCAAAAATAAATAAACAAACAAAGGAAAGAAATCTTTCTTTCAAGTCGCTGTCGCACGGTTGGGCGCCCTTCATGTACGGAACTCGTTGTCAATAGTTGGCACAGGTTACCCAGGGTTTTTTCTCAGTCCTTTG